TAGCTAATCACTGACAAAGTCAGGCTCCCTCTTGCATTTTATCCTTTAACTTATGCTATATGGACTAGGGACAGAAATTACACATAAACCATTTTAAGCGCTAAGAAACTGGTTTAAATTTGTAACAGGACGTAAGTTTAGTGTACATAAGCCAGTTTCAAAATGGCTGAAAGTGGTTTAAGATAAACCTGGTTGAATATAATATCAGACTTAACTGATTTGGGCCAAGCTAGTTTATAAAACTTCTGTCCCAGACCCGTTCCTGGTTCAAGTTAAATCACAGTCCCCCAGCAACCCAGCACTGTCCAGCACTGTACTGTGCTGTGCTGTCTGCTCCAGAGAGCAGGGCTGGCCCCGCTGCTCTACTCCCCAGCTGGAGCAGTCAGGGCTAACTAACAAAGGGGTGGGGAGTAGGGGTGTGAGAAATGGGCCATATTTAATTTGGAGTTGGCACGAATTGGGGACAGTGATTTGATTTGTTGTTTCGGATCACTGTCTCGATTCCATTTGGCCAAATCTCAGTCTGAAGATTTGATGCTGATTCGGAGAATCAATGATTCAGCCATAGACACCACTTTAAATGTTTTTTCTACATACCTCGAGGTACCAGGTGCTGCTCATGAAAGCTGCAATGGTGAGGCAGATGGAGCATCCCACAGGAACGTGGGGGGATGGTCCCCACATGCTCAGCATGGACCTGGAAGTGGACTGGAAGTACTTCCCTGGCTTGGTGATCAGCTGTGGAAGGGCCCTGGGTGCCCCCCCGCCAGACCCAGGAGGCACCAGTCTCTGAGGTGGCGGAGTGGGGGGTCCCTCTGCACTTCTGGTCCTTTTGCACCACTTTAATGCTTCTGTTCCACTTCTGAGTCTGCCGATAAGCATGCTGGGGACCCCCCTGCGCTCCCGTGGGACGCTCCATCTGCTCCAGCATCTCAGCATTCACGAGCCGCCTTGTACCTCGAGGTATGTAGAAAAAACACTTAAAGCTGTGTCTATGTCCTAATCATCAAATCTCTCCGAATTGATTCAGAGGGTTCTGATTCAATACGGACAGATTGAAGGGTCTCCTGACTCAATTTGGATTTGGAGATTCGGCCGCCAAATCTCCACCAAATTGAATCAGTGACCAAAGCTTCACACAGCCCTAGTGGGGACTGCAAGCCTGGCTGGGAATACAGCCCAGTCTACAGAGAGAGGAACTGCCCCACCCAGATGAACCCCAGCTGGAGTCTGGGGCCAGGGGGGGATTAAACTGCCCTTCCCCTGAGTACAGAGCTGCCTGACCCTGATAAAAAATTACTGCTGGCTGCAGCTGTGGGCTACAAATCCCAGAGGCAACTGGAAGCAGGAAAAGGAAGTGATGAGTGACCCTGCAGAGTCCTGCTGCTGTAATTTTGGACTGCAAATCCCAGAGACCTCAAGGGCAGCAGGAAGAGGAAGCAAACACACATCCCCACTGCAGGCATGTGGCTGCATTTTCTGAATTAAAGGTAAATGTCCATTCACTTCTATTTCAATTTAATCTGTGCAGCTTAGACTAACCTGCAAAAACTGAATCAATTTAGCATCAGGCTTTTTGATGTCTGTACCTAGCCATAGAGTCTTGCATCATTTACTGTTCACTGGCATACCTTCCCCTATTACAGCCTTACGGGACCTCTCCTTGGGATGGAAGATACTAGTTTGATTTCCCTTAGATCGAGGAAGGCATAGAACACATGTCCCTCACATCCTGAGTAAATACTGTAAGTACCAGGCAACTGCATAAAAGGTAGGAATTATATATACCTTCTCTTCCAGATGCATTCCAAAACATCTAGTACTGCTTTTTGATGAGAAGCCTAATTCTGACAGTGTTTTTAGGCCCAGGGCATGCCTACCAGCTTGGAACATTACTTTGCCAGTGGGGCTTATGTGGGAGCTAGGCCTCTAGCTGCTCAGACTAAAGCAGTTCTGGGTACTTGCAGAAGTAGCTCTGTTGACATCTAGAGAACTCTGATGTCAAACAGGGAGGTGCCTAGTAGGGGTGCACCGATAGAGATTTTGGGGGCCAATACCAATAGCTGATTTTAAGGAGACATATCGTCCGATACTGATCTGATTTCTGATACAGCTGTGTGCAGCTGTTAAGTCTGTTGTGGTGAAAGGGGAGTGGGGAGAGAAGGGGCATGGGAGGGGCAGATCGATGCCCCCAGCAGTGAGGGAGGGAGTAGGGCTGGAGTAGGTGCTGCCCA